CGTTCAAAGGTAATCTTGACAGTCCATCTGCAATGTTCTCAGATCCAGGTTCATAAGTGAGTGTGAAGTCATAGTCCTGACATCTCAAAGCGATCCGTTCCAGGCGAATTGATTGAGTGTTTTTATTGAATACGCCAAGTAGTGGTTTATGATCAGTCGAGACGACAACGTGGCGACCATAAATGTAAGAATGCATCTTCTGCAATCCGAACAGCACAGCCATTGCCTCTCGTTCGATCTGCGAATATCTCTTCTCTGCAGCAGTTAGACTTCTGGACGCATAAGATATGGGCTGCCAACGGCTGTCAACATTTTGCAGCAAGACACACCCAAGACCGACTGGGCTGGCATCTACTACAAGTTTGGTCTCGGCTTCCAATGAGTAGTGTGCAAGGCATGGTGCTTTAATCAGAAGCTCTTTAACTTCCTCAAAGGCATTGGATTCTGTTGTACTCCATTTCCACACCACACCCTTCTGCGTAAGATATCGTAAGGGGTGATCACTGTTGCAAGGTTGGAAACAAACTGTGTAAGGTATGTAATGCTTCCCAGAAATGATCTCAGCTCAGCTTGGTTTTGAGGTACTGGTGCATCTGCAATGGCTTTTACCTTGTCAGGGTCAGGCTTAATGCCCTCAGCAGAGATGACGTGTCCTAGAAATTTCAGCTCACACATGCCCAAGGCACACTTGTCTGCATTGAGACGAAGGCCACAGTCTTGAAGTTTAGCCATCACTGCACGAAGATTCTTCCAGTGTTCTTCTGGTGTTGACCCGTACACCACAACATCATCAAAGTAGCTAAGCACACCTGATAAGCCTTCACACACTATGCTCATGACCCTTTGGTACACCTCTGGTGCTGACGCAAGTCCGAAGGGCAGCCTTTTGAACTGATACACTTTGCCTGCGGCTATGAACGATGTAATTTCTCTAGATTCTTCTGCTAGGCGAACCTGCCAATATGCTTTCCTTAGATCCAGAGTCGAAAACATCCGAGCCCCACTCAGTTGCCGTAACAGGTCTTGGATTCTAGGAATTGGAAACCGCTCTCTTATCACTGCTTTATTAGCTTCCCTGAGATCGACGCACACTCTCAATTCTCCATTCCCTTGTAGACAATCTGCACAGGTGATATCCACGATGCTCCTGTCGCTTCTTCAATCACATCTTCTTGGATCATTCGCTCTATTTCTTGTTTCAATCTATCCTCTAAGGGTGCAGGGACTGGCCTTTGTTTTTGTACCTTGGGAGGGACATCTGAATTGATTTTAATTTTGTACTCATAATTTTAAAGTCTCCGAGCTCTTCCTTGAAGAGATTTTCATACTCCTGATAGATCTTCTCCCTCGCCTTGGTTGGGCTCTCCCCTACTGCATGGATTTTTACAAGGTTGAGGGGTGGACAGGGCGCTTCTTCCCAACAGGGGGACCTTCCACATCGATCACATACACTGGCTCCATTACTTCCATCTTATTGCATCTCAGTTTAGCATCAAATACTCCTAAACACTTGAGGTCTCCTCCACCAAAAGCTGAGAACTTGACATTGGTTGGGTTAAGAGGAATGTTCAGGTTGTTTCTAAACCACTGTTTCGGGATCAAGGTTTTAGCACAGCCAGTGTCAATCATCATTTGAACAAGTTTACCATTGATTTCGACATCAGTTTCAACACCCAGCCCCTCATTATTAGTAGTATACAAAACATATTCAGGGTTAGACTTATCTGACTGATGCTGGACTGGCTGGACAAACTTTACATCTTCTTTATTCTCTGATTCTCTTGATCTGCAATATTTCCAAAAGTGACCAGTCTTCTTACATTTTATGCACTGTGCATTCCTAGCTTTGCACCTTTCGTTATTAGCAAGATGATCCGTTTTTCCACAGCGAAAGCAGGCTTTTTCTTTCGCTTTATTTACTGAAAATCTTACCGCATTAACATCAGATTTTCCAGGAACGTTTTGGGCCCCGTGACCCCCAAGTAGCTGTGTATCCTTCTTTGCAGATTCAATTGCTCTCCCGAGCGTCTGGGCTTTTTCCAGTGTAAGAGTCTCTCCTTGTTGTAGTAGCTTTTCTCGTAGATATCCGTCAGAACACTTCTCTATAACTTGACCAAGAATATTATCATCATTTGCTTCCCCGAAGTCGCATGTTAAACTCAGCATACGTAACTCTGCAATGAAGGTATCAAGTGATTCATGTTGAAGTTGAGCACGTTTTCGAAACTTGTGCCTCTCTGCCCACTTGTTTCTCTTCGGCTGAAAATGTGCACTCAACGCTTGTTTAACTTCCTCAAATTTCTTGTTCTCTCCCGGCAAACCTGAGAGCAAACGCTGGACTCCCGTCCCCGCAAGATGTAGAAGAGTAGCTTTTTGAACGTCGTCGCTTTCCTTATCTAATTTCGTAGCAATTCGGTAGTTGTCGAAAGCATCGAGCCAAAACTTCCACTCATCCGCCAAGTTTGTCGCCTCTAAATTAACTGGTGACAACGAAAACCTTTCAAAACTCATCTTGGCGTGTTATCCGATTGTCTTTTATCCTCGTCGCCAATTTGTAGTGTCGCAAAGTCTTTAATTGTAACGGAACAGACTCCAATATACAAGAAGAGTTTTTACACCGAAATTAGTCAGATCCAACGTATCCAAAACGTCCTTCGGCTTAGCAGCCAAGCCTGCAATATGCGTGGATACCCGGATATAACATTTCACATTGAAGGGATCATGAACGATGATCTTCAAGGAACTCTGCGCCTCCACTCCCCACGATCCCCAGTCAACAACAACGTACTTGTGCTTTGGCATTTTCGGAAATCAAAACTAAACAGAACTCAGCTGAACAGGAAGAGACTTCAAGTTAAAACGCACGCCGAGGACGATCACGTTAAAACACGTGGAGATATGAATGTCACAGCGCGAACAGACGCTTCCAAATTCAAATCTGGTGGGACTTTTGCTTTGATCGTATTGAAAAGCTGCGGTCACTTCAAAGTCGGCGATAAATATCACAGTCTGGGATGGGTCGAAAATAAACACGTGTGAAATTCTTCAGGAGCAAGGTTTGCCAGATGGTCATTCTTCTTGTTCGTTTCGCGCCCATTCTGTCCAAGTATCACTCTTTCTTGCAAAGTTAATAAAAAAAATCCTTCACAAAGTCCTCCGCTACAAAGTAAAGGATGCCCTGGACACACTTCGCATTTTTTGTGAAGCAAGCGGCCGGTGCAACTACAACTGCCGATCCGTCATGTTTGTTTACCAAATGCAGACGAATTTTCACCGCTGACCACTTGATCGCTATAACGACGGCTCTTACGTACGCGATCGCTGTGGACTGTATCCTTGAGGAAATCATTTACCTTTCTGGAAACCCAAACGATTGGTGTGTTGCTAGGGCTCCGAATTGCTGTGGTAATTGTCGATGAAGTTGTTTTTAATTAACAAAAAAGTGAGTCATTTACTTAGTTATCATTATACTTGTGGTGTTAAGTATCTCTCTGCAAAGTTTGCTCTTGATAATGTGAGACCTGACAAAAGCAACCATTCTCAAGGTGTCACTGGTGGTCACAATGTGACTTTCAATTGTTCATTCTGAAGAAAAATTTGGACTAAAACACAAACAGGAAGATAACAGAAACAATCTATTCTAGTTGTATCTTGTATTTTCATTAGTGTAAATTCCCTTATGCAAATTTCTTATTCAAAACTCTGCGGTGAACAGAATTTGTCGGAGTTCTTAATTGATTATGAGAAACTTGTTTAAAACCAACAATGTTAGTCACTGATTAGATGACTGTATAATCAGACAAATCTGCTGATAAACATTGAATAGTGGTTTTGTATCATGAAAAAAAATCAGCATGTGAGAATCCATTTTTCAATGACAGGTGACTTAAAACTGTACATCAAGTGTACCTGCCCAAAACTGATTGATCTATTTACTCAGGGTTTCCGGCAACATTATTGTAAATATCAGATCACTGATCACCACTGCTAACAAAAAAGAAAAGATCCCACTGATCTTGAAAAGGTAGATGTAGAATTAAAAAAAAAAGAGCCAATGATAGTTGTGTAAGTTTTACCACTTTGAATCTATTATGTATGGCAAGCTGGAAGGTAATGTACTTCTTTTCTTTTTTTTACTCAAGGCTTTAAAATGAAATGAAACTGACTAAGCTGACAATTTCTCTCAGTTTTTCTAAATGTAAATTAGTTGTTAACTATTTCTAGCTTATTCCAGTTTCGTGCAAGAAATATAGACTGGAAAAAGCTGTCAATTTCTGGCAGCAGCTAATGCATGCATGAAATTCCAGCTATTTCCAGCTTTTGAAAGAACTTAAAACTTGGAAAAACTGGGAAATGTTTTCTAGAAAGAAGCTTGAATAGGATTCTGGAATAAAGCTGTCATATTCTAGAAATTTCTAGAAACTTCCAGAAGTTATCAGAAAGATGGACATCATTCTTATAGCTACTTAGTTGTAGTCTTCTTATACAGTGTATGTTAAATGTAGTATAGTCTAATGGTGGGAGACGTGAGTCGTGCTGGCCTGTCTCAGATTTCCTGCCCTTTTTTCTTTTAGAGCTTTTTGAGGACAGGTTTTTCTGGCCACTCTGGCATGCTCGCAAATTACTTTGTCAATTCTTTATTTCAATTTAGTAATGCTTGTTTTAACAGGAGTTTGGGTGTCCAGGTCTTTAGGGTTTGCTCATTGACTCCTGATGCATGGGAACCAGAGCAAGTCAAGGTAACATAAGATGTATACCAGCCCTTTATTATTTGTAAGCACTATGTTTTGGGTTTGCAAATGTTGTACTGGACAATACTCTGTCATAATTTTAAATGGGCTTGCATCTTAGAGTGATCAAGGCATAGTCTCTGACTTGGTGATGGAATATTTTTAATTTTAGAGAAAAGGTAAAATAGAACTAAATGAATGTTATGTAGTAATTTTAGGTTTTGTTTTTAAGTTAATGACAGAATTGGGAAATGAATTGGTCAACGGAATTCTTGAAGCAAAAGTCAATTCCCATACAAATAAATCAACTCCTCAAAGTAGCAGGTACTTTTTGTTGTTTTAAATATTAATTCCTAAAAGTTTATAGTTTATAACATTTTTTGAAAAGTAATTATCAAATTATTTTTGTTGAAGGGGTGAAAGTGAGACTTGGATGAAGTTAAAATATGTACAACACAAGTTTGTTTCCCTGGAAACCTTTCTAAAAAACTGTCAAACTTTGGACAAAGGGATCATTAGAAATCTTGCAAGAATGAAAAAAAGTAAACTTTTCTAAAGGAAACTTGCCATGTGAACAAAGTACTCAGTTTTATCTGCTTGCTATGGAAACAAACATTTTCAAATGACATCATTCCTGAACAACTTTCAGACAAGTGTGAGCGGCATCAATTCAAGTTATGATTTTAATGGCTTCACACATGCTCGATTAATTGTTTCAGGTTCACAACTGCACTGATTAGACTGAGCACTAAAGAAAATGAAATAAGAAGCTTAAAATCCTACTTTGTTTAAATGTGGCTGATTTTGCCCAAAACTTTCATAAAATTCTGGTAAGAAGTCAATTGTATTTAATTTTAGCTGGCCATGGGATAATTTGTTTCGCACTTTGTACTTACAAGTTAAGCTTTAATGGACCTAGTTTCCATTTCTTTGTCGGTGGACAGATCAAGGACGTTTAAGTTATTTTTATTCATTTCAAACAAACATTTTACAAAAAATATTGAAATCAGTCAATGAAGATTTCCAGTGTTTCTTTAATTAGTTTCTGCCTCAATTCTTTTGAAGTGCATTATGCACATTCTGTTTACTATGAAAAGAGTTTCAATGGTGTCATATTGTCTTTGCCCTTGTGGCATTTAAGATCGATTTTATTGAGGAATTAAATATCCTCAAGTATAAGTTGGTGTTTGTTTTTTTCAGTCTGCAAGATTTTAATCTTGCTTGCACATACTTCAGCAATATCAGTATTGTATTGCTGTGCCAGTAAACACCATAAGGCTCTCTGGAGCTAAATATTTCTTGTTTGTGTTTAAAATAAGTACCAAGTTTTGTGCAGAACTTAATTTATGATAACTTTGAATAAGATGCATTCTTAAATTACAGTCAGCATCAGTTCAACATAATTTTTTGCCTTTGTGTTCCTTGTAGCTGATCAAGCTTTGCAGTGGAATGGTAGAGACAGGGAAACAGTTCAACTTATCCACCAGGTAATACTAGTACACAATTAAAGAACTCTGATCTCTTTTTGTGGTTTTTCTCTTGGTCTTTCACTTCTCCCTCTTTTGAAAGCTCTACTCTTTAACCCTTTTGACTCTTAACAGTGACTAACATTGAATTTCTCCTTAACGTATCACTTCTAAATCAAATATTAAGGTGATGAGAATAAAGGAAATGTTTGCCAACAAAAGAAACCTTGATTGTCCAACAAATTCTCCTGCTCAGCACTATGGGAAATGTATAGAGAACAGTATGGAGAATTTGTATACAGATGCAGGAGTGTAAAGGGTTAAAGGATTACTGGGTTTCTAAAGGATCTTGTTTCACATATGAGGGTTGTCCTGACCAGGTCATAACATCTTTTATATAACAGCAAAGTGATACAGGTCACCCAATGATATAAGTTGGTTTCCTGTGGCACCTGAAGTCTAAGATAGTACAGTTCGGAATTGAATAGTTCAGACAAGAATTGTTTGTTAGTTACATGACTGTATTTTCACACAAAGGCTTTCGTCACTTTTCCTTCAGTGCTTTAGTGAGTGGTATTGACAACCTGACAAAGTACTTTGCAGGAGATGAGCTGGTGTCATTCACGCTGGACAAGTTTTCTTGTGCTCTGACTGAGCTTCAGAGCTTCCTATCAGTGAGTGAGATTTCCTCAATTGTCAACTCTATAATAGTCCATATTCCTTCCTTAAAATCACATCTCATTTAAAAATTAATATTTCAATTGGTGAAAATGATTTATAGAAAAAAATTTTTTTCTGCATGGAATTATTGCCCTTTGTGATTTTGTTTTGTTTGTTTTCTGGCAGTCACGGAGAACAATATGTTGATTATATCATTAGACTGGTGGTAAATAGAAGCTGTTACAGTGGAGAATCGTGAACCTTTTATATGGCTTCACATACCCCACACCCAGCCTTAAACAAGAACAAGCATAGACTGATAACTCTCTTATTTGCAGTACATTTTGTGAATGTGTACATCATGTTTTTGACAGTTCACTTTCATTACCATTGACTTCATACCTTGCATAGGGAAAAAATTGTTTTCTTCTCTCACATCACCTAGAATTGGATTTTTGATGACATGTTTGGTGAAATAACCAGTATCTGTATTTTCCTCAGATTCTTTTAGAGCAAGCACAAAAATCAATCTCAAGCACGCTGAGAACTTTTATCAAAGAGTAAGTGTGGTTGTGAAAATTCTTGTCAGTTTTGTCTTAAAAAGGGAAATTGGATAACCTGCATTGCACTACAAAAGGGTTAACACCCACCTGTATTTTGAAAATTTTGATGAAATCACATCTTTTCAATTCCTTAACCTTTCTAAATCCGTCTCCTCTCTCTGTAAAAGTTTTTTCCTTCTAAGATTTGCATAGTTCTTACACAGCAATGGACAGTTTGAGGTGGGGAGAGGTACAATGTGGGAGAAGTTAAATGGAAAGTAAAGAAGAAAAAAGTGAATTTTTCATTTTTTTACATCGATTGTACAATGTAGTTGTGAGAGTTGATTTGTTTGCCTCCTCTTGTAAAATGAGCCTATTTACAACTGTTTTAATTACACAATTCAAGATTGATTCAAGATTCCAATTGACACTGTCAGCTGTTAAAAACAGGAATTAAAACAGTTGTAATGATGCAACTACAATTAAATAATAGTTATTGAATCAAATATACTCTAAAAAGAAAATTAAGTGTGTTGTCATTGTTACAATTTTAGAACATACCTGTAGCTGCTCAAAAAGTAGATGAACATCAAAAATCTTTGCAAAACTAAATACTATTTATTTTCTCTCATTTACAGGGAAGTCAAGAAGGTTAAGGATGCTAAAAAGCTGTTTGACAAAGTCAGTGATGATTTGGATAAGTGAGTGTATAATACTTGACATGTATACTGACCTTTTTGACATGAGCTCAATAATTGGTGCTGTAACTAAAGGGTCATGTTGGATTTTCTCTTATTTACCCGTTGGCTTTCAAGATAAGGCTCTTTAGCACTCTAAGCTCAAATTTTTTTTGCCATTTGGCAACTGAAAATCAGAAAAAAGTCATCAGAGCTGCAGGCAACACCACAGTAGCCAGCAGTCATTGTAAGGTTCACTTAATTTAACATCTCAGGACTCGACACTTGAACAAGGAAAGAGGAAGTGGCAACATCCTGGAACTGGTTTATGACTGTGCATGTGGGTCATAAAGATTTTTGACAAATGCAAACCTTTCAGATTTCTATGTGGCATCTGCACACAGATTGGCCATTCAGTGACTTTTGCTGAAAATATACCAGCCAAATTTTTTTCCATTCTCCTTGGTGACAAAAATGGTAGCCGCTTGATGCACTACTCCATAGTATGACTGGAAAAGAAATATTACAGCCTCCCTCCCTTGTAGCCTGAACTCTAGTTCATTGAAGGTGCCCTATCCCCCCATACCCCTGTACTCCCTATCCACCCTACCCCCTACACCCTACCCACCACTTCACCATGGCAGGTTGTCCTTTGCCCAAAAACATAAGACCAGGATTGTGTGCTAATGAAAATGTTTGTGATTTTTTTTTTGTTTCCTTTTTAGTGCCTTGACAAGAAATGCACAGCTTCCACATCACTGTAAGGCCTCTGAAGTGGAGGAGGTTAGATTATTGTTATAGTGTAGAGCTTCATGTGTAGTTGCTAAAAATTTTGCATAGCCACCTAGATGTTTGTATATGTAACTTGCTGTGTGTTACTGTGCCTACCAATCTGTATTATATATGACGATTGAAGGACCACACTGAATACTTTGTAGTTAATTTAATTTTTTTTTTGTTTTATTTATTTTTTTTAATTTCCACAAAACAGGTTAAGAATGCAGTGAAAGCTAATCAGACATGTTTTAACCACACAGCATTGGACTATGCCTTCCAGGTTGTAGATAAAGTGTAGAAGTGACAATAATCATGTTCATTGAATCTCTGTCAATAGTTGCTGTATTGTCTAGTAAGCAAGCATGAAATTTATCCCCCTTCCAAGAACTATTGTCAGTTTTTTAAAACCATGCTTTGTATTGCAGATCAACATTTTACAGTCACGAAGAAGGATTGATGTTCTAGACACTGTAAGAAGTAGAGGATAATAGATGGATGCACAGAGATATGGAATTCTTCTTGCAGTGTTTAGTTGAACACTTGAAGGAAAATTCCTTACATACGAGAGACCACATATTATTTTGTTTACTATTTAATCACTATAGGCCTTAAATGACAAGAGTATAATTGGAATTGGAACAGTTTCGCAAACCATTTAAGCAACTCATTCATCCATATGATTGGTAAACCAATCGCACAACCAATCATGGTTTAATAATATTTTCATTCATTTGAATGGCTTGCCAGTCCATTTGACATTATCCGTTTTATTCATTCATTTGAATGGCTAAGCAAACCGTTTGAAGGGCTAATCAAACTGTTCAAGTTCAGTTTGCCCATATGATAAAAATTTTTACTCATCTGTTCAAATGGCTGACCAAACCTCTCAAATAATTTATTCACCAGTTTAAATGGTTAGGCAAACTGTTCAAATGCCTCAAGGACTGTTCATCAACCGTTTGTCATCTGTGTGTTTTTGCTATTCTAACAGTTTTCTGTTAGTGTCTGTTTTGCCTTCCATGGTCACAAATTTACCAAACAACCTTGTATTAAGAATGGTGAATGTTTTGCTATTAATTTATTAACCTGACAGAGTGGTACAATAAACAAGTGATGTGTCAGCAGCTGATTGTGATGTCAAACACATTTAAAATATAATTATAATTTTACACATGTGCAGTTGCAGGTTTTCTCAGTGCTGGAAATCCTTGTAGAACATGGCAGTGTTAATTAGACCTCTTCATGCAGATAGTCCATCTTTTCTAAAAGGTTCTTTTGTCCTTGCAAATTCGAAAAGAAGTCTTAGTACAGATTGAATGAGTAGGACTGACTGGGAGAAGAAACTGAACTTGTCTGTTTTTGTTCCTGTTATAGATTCTGAAGTTTATGCATGCCCAGTCAACATATTTTCATCAAGGTTATGATTTGATGAATGATTTAGATGCATACATGAAGAGGGTGTCAAATCAGGTGGGTTGAATTTGATTTACTATTAATAATTTGATAACAAGATATTGGCTTCTATTATACCATTGGTGCAACATTCAACAAGTTTGGTGTTCTTTGTCTTGTTCTGTCAGACCTTTTAGGATTTTTTTTTGTTCCTTGATGGAAGAGTTTGTATATTAATTTTAAACAATGATTCATTATTTCAGAAGCAGTTGTGAACTTAAAAATTGAAAAACTTTCACTCTTAGGATCTAAAGATTTATTCTTCACACCATTTGCTATATATTTCTTATAATTTAAGCTCCGAGAATTTGGTTGTAATTATCAAACAGTATCCCCTGTCAGATATTTTTCAATCTTCTCATCAACTTTATGCTAAGAGTTGCACTTAAATTGTGAGGAGAAGTTCCTCTTTGATCACTCCTGGGAGTGAAAGGGTTAAAATATTAGAGGACAGGTTTTGATCAATTGGAAATAGTCTGCTGATAGTGACTCTTAACAACTGTGTATCAAATTCTGTAATCCAGGTGGAAGAAGTGTCAGTCCAGTTTACAATGGACAAAAAAGAGATGGAAGAAAGACACACATTGGTCCAGAAAATGGTGGGTATAATATCAATTATTACAATAATGATTTAAGATCTTAAAAATTTTGCTCTGTCCTTAGAGCCGTTTAAAATTTCCTAACATGGGCCTTCGAATTTTGTTTAAAAACAAGGTAAAGACAGGCAAAAAAATTATACAGTTGGGTACAAAATTTATGCATTGGTTATTGTTTCTATATATTTAGCATTTACCAGTAATTTTCTATTTCCCATTTTCATTCAATTTCCCCCCAATAAAGTGAGATTGAGTCTTGTTGCAAGGCTGTGAGAAAACAAAAAAGATAGTGAGATTAGTGGGTGAGTTGTAATTGATTTGGAATGTCTATGAAACCATTCCATTAGATTTCTATGGTCAAATGTGCAAAAACAAGGGGCAGAAAATTTGTCAAATACCAGATTATGAGATTCATGGTTTTTACTCAAGGCTTGCTATCTTGGATTTGTGATTTTAGGAGGAGAGTGGATGCATAGGAAGAAGAAACCTGAATGATGCAAGATAAACTGTTATAATTGTTGATGGTATCTGAACAATACTCAATACATGTTTTACATCATTCACAATGGGAAGTCTCAAAGTTTGTAACTTCTCTGTTTACTTTGAGGAGTGAATCTTGTGCATTCAGTTTGGTGAAAATCATGTTTGTGTTCATGTGCTTATGGGTTAATTTTCATCTTCTATTTGTTTGCAGTGGTTTAGTAATGGAAGGCTACTTATTTAAAAAAAGCAGTAATGCTTTTAGAAGTTGGCATAGGTGAGTGTGTGGTAGCAGTGAGTTAGGGGTGAATTTAGACTGAAATATTCTACAGGTTAGATCTCTGATTCTCAGAGGTTGTAGTGGATCTGAGTCCTTTTTAATGGGATACTGATTGACACTGAAGTAAAACTGCAGCAGCTGATTTACCCTCTAACTCCTAAGAGTGACTAACATCTAATTTCTCCTTACAATACGACACCTGAATCAAGCATTAAGGTCTCAAGAATAAAAGAGATGATCACTGACTAAAAAGCTATGGATTGTCAGGCAAATTCTCCTTGTTGGTCCCTCATGAAATTTGTAGAGAACAGTATGGAGAATATGCATACTGATATTAGCCAAGGGTGTAAAGGGTTAAGGTCTTAAATAATTTCATTGTAAAATACCTCATTTTTATTTTCCCAAAGGTGATATTTCACAGTTCAGAATAACCAACTGATGTATCAGAAGAGATTAAAGGTGTGTATGACTGAATGAATGTAGTATTTAGATTACACACACTCACGAGTGTGATCACTAAGTGCAATTTCTGGTGTCACATTCTGATTATGTCAATCACATGCATGCTGCAAATGTCAACAGCCAGGTGCATACACCTATTTATGCACACATGTTATCATGCTTTGAATTGTGAATACTTAGTAAATTTATTGAAGTTTTTAATTAAAACCTTTTTTCAGTTGTACAGTCAAATGAATGAAGGGATTCAATGATGACATGCAGTTTATGTATCACTTGCATTCAATTTTGCAGGATGATCAAACAGTACTTGTTGAAGATCTTCGATTGTGTAAAGTTAGGCTTGCAGAGGAAACAGTGGAAAGAAGATTTATGTTTGAAGTGGTATCACCAACAAAGTAAGGCTACTGAATTCTGTTTTTGCAAATCTGTCAAATACACAGTAGACAACTCAGAATTGATAGCATCTGAGTGACCAATAGTTATTGTTTCCAAGATCTGATTGTTAATTCTCCCCTCAAACTGCAAGACATTTGTAAATTGGTTACAGGAATTGGTGTTAGATCAAGATAACAACTTCTTCCTAACAAGTTTGAGTATTCTCTTTACCTGATAAGTTTGAGTATTCTTGTTACCCATTTGCTGGATAATGTGTAGATATTATAGGGAGAAGTGACATGTTAATCACTTTTTGAGTTTAGAGTTAACTGAAAATGATATCTTCTACTCTGTATCACTAGATCATGGTATTTACAAGCAGATAGTGAAGCACTGCAAGTGGAATGGATGGAAGCTATGCAGGTAAGTTTATCAAATTGAGGCAAGTGGAATACATAGGAACTGAGTCTAAGGATGTACACTAAATGTTGTGGGTGAATTTCTGCTGATGGTGAACTTGAGTGAGGTGTGGAGTGAGGTTGGTGACAGGGTTTTGTTTTGTTTGTAAAATAATGTTGTTTTCAAGGGCAACCTTCCTTGTTTCCAATGTTAACCAAATCTCAAGTCAGAGCAGTGTATCATAAACTGTCAAGCATGTGAGATAGTGTTAAGAAATCAAATGATACAAATGACCCTGAAAACAGCACCAGTTGCCCATGATAACAACCCCATTTTTAACATCAAAATGTGGTCACCAAACTTTTGTTGCCCCTCTCTCAACTGAAACTTGTAGTAAGTAGGCTTGAAGTAGAAGTGAACGAGTTATCAGCTTTTGTAGTGTTTGTTGTGTTGTGTTGGCAGAGAAGTGAATCCTTAACTTGATGATCAAAAAGAAAGTTTCTAACAAAATACTGTTACTAAAATTTTAATTGTTATGTGGTGATTCACAGGCCAGTATTGACAAGGCTTTCAATAGCTCAACCAGTATTCAAAGTAACAATGATAAGGTGGGTGAATTGAAATTACTTACTTAAGATAGTGCATGTGATCCCTGTGGGTAGTTTTTAAGTCATGGTTCCTTGACCTCAGGATTTCAGAGACAATCCAAGAAAATGTGACTCTGAGGACAAGGCAGTGCAGTTTTGATGAATCCAAGCAATATATATTTATTTATTTATTTGGCATATTAAAGTTCATTAATTAGCAGCTACCCAGATTAATTGCATGGTACCTTTCAAGATTGCCACATGCACTTTCAGTCCTTTTCTCCAAGAACTTTCCTCAAAACTACTGTATAAAAATCACATGACACAGGGACAAGTTGTTCAATTTATACCTTGAATCAATTTCACTAGCTGCACATGAAATAGATTATTGGGTACTTTTTTGGTCACTGTTACACTGTTCCATTTTTTTTTTGTTTTCATTTCTTTAGCTCTTGTTTAAAATGTTCACAACTTTTAAATTGATTCTTTACACACTTTCTCTGTGAGCTGTCACTGATGTGCACCTTACCTATAATTTGTGATTTCAGGGGATATCCCTATCCTGTCTTTTTAGTTCAAGTTTAAGATAGAATTTATATAATTTTTTTTCAGAGTGATTTACAAGGGCCAGGCTCTATGAGCAACAGTATGGATTCTCTCAACAAAGTTTCTGGACCATCAAGGTTTGATTGTCTTGCTTTTTGCATTCTGTTGCTGGAGATTTCTTTAATGCAGTTAAAAGCAATTTAACAGAGTTGAAAACTAAGAGGATCAGTAGTATTCAGCTGTTTCTGCATATGCGCACATGTCAGAGTTCCATGTGCTCTCTGATTGAGGCATTCTTGCACGTGCTTTGAGCATGAGCTTGCAGCATGGTTTGGACCAACAGTTCATCATCCAGGTAGTTTTCCCCACCCCTTTCCCACTCTTTCCACCATTTATTCAGTGTGACTGAGGTCTGCTTCCCTTTTCTGCGTGGGGGCTCATGGCTGGGTTGCATGGATTTGCCATGGTCCCTGCTCTCACCACTGTGCCATCCCTGCACTCATCACTGTGCCATCCCTTCTCCCATCACTGTGCCATCCCTGCTCTCATCATTGTTCCGTCCCTGCTCCTATTACTTTGCCATCCCTGCTCTCATCAATAATGCAAGGGTCTATGCTTCCATCACTGTGCCATCCCCACTCTCATCACTGTGGCCCAGGTCCCTGCTCTCATCACTGTGTCATCCCCACTCCCATCACTGTGCCATTCCTTCCTGTTATTTCATAGACAGTACTCTCTTGGATCATACAGATGACACTCCATTTTGGACCTGGTTCACTAAAAGTTAATATTAATAATTACATTCATTTGGTGTTTTAACAGTTTTTATTACCTTTCAATGACAGAAGTAATCTTGATGTTATTAGAGCTGTCTCTGGTAATGACAAGTGTGCAGACTGCAGCAGCACTGGTGAGCATAGTACAACAATCTGTGGGAGAGGGTAGCTTTGAGGTCATAGGATTGTGTAAAGAAAGTTCACTTTTTAATACCATTTGGCCTTTGCAATGAAAATGTGGGTTTTTTTTATTATCCTCCTTTTATGGGTTAGAATGTTTGCTTTTGCCTTTCTTTTTCTTTTTCTTTTTCCTTTTTTTTTTAATTTAAATGGTTTATATTTTGTAGTTACCAACTGTAGTAACTCTAATGCAAATTATTTTTTATCCTTTAGATCCGACCTGGATCTATGCATTGTAGAGTGCATGTGTTGTCAATAATCTGGTTTATGCCATGATCCTTAAGATCAGTGGTGCAGACAAAAGGCTCAGCTTTGCTGCTGTGTAGTTTTTCTTAAGTCCAATTAGCAGGTAAAACAACCAAACAAACATTCAGTAAATTCATGCCTCTGGGTCCAAATATCATCAGTTGAGGGCAGTGTGTTTGACTGAGTTACAAACTGTCCAGTGCATAATTACCTATTTTTTAAGTATTTAAATTTGATATATAATAATATTATGAGAGATCACAAAGTTACAATTATGTAGTTTAAGAAATGACCCACCGGTAATGCTTGTTTTAATAGGAGTTTGGGTGTCCACGTCTCCAAGGTTCGCTCATTGACCCTTGATGCATGGGAACCAGAGCAAGTCAAGGTAATATAGGATGCATACTTTTGTTATTTGTAAGCACAATGCTTTGGATTTACAACTGTTTTACTGGACAATGTGCTGACATAATGTTAATTGAGCTTGTGTCTCAAAGTGATCAAGGCATAATCTCTAACTTGGTGACAGAATATTTTTAATTTTAAAGAAAAGGACTTGGTAAAATAGAACAAAATGAATGTTATAGTAACTTAAGGTTTTGTTTTTAGTTAATGACAGAATTGGGAAATGAATTGGTCAATGGAATTCTTGAAGCAAAAGTCAACTCCCATACAAAGAAACCAACTCCTCAAAGTAGCAGGTACTGTTTGTTGTTTTAAATAAATTATGAATTCCTAAATTTTTGTAGTTAACATTTTTTGAAAATAATTATCAAATGATTTTTTTCAAAGGGGTGAAAGAGAGACTTGGATCAAGTTAAAATATGTACAACATAAGTTTGTTTCCCTGGAAACCTTTCTAAAAAACTGTCAAACTTTGGACAAAGGGATCATTAGAAATCTTGCAAGAATGAAAGTTCACCACGAGGAAAGGGGCACAAATTTGGCTGTTGAGAGAACAGACTCCAAAAAAAGTAAACTTTTCAAACGGAAACTTGCCGTGAAGTCAAAGTCAAAGATGGACAACCGAAAGAGTGCTCCTGCTGAAATACTCTCTGCAGATGTAGCAAGTGGAGACTCTGAAAAGTTAGAACATGTTGCTTCAAGTTTTCTCAGTGATGAGACTGCTAGCAGTGACTCACATGATGAGGACAGACCAGGAACTAGTGCTCCATCAACATCATGTCAAGACAGTGAGAGGAGACGGGCAGCCTCCATCAGAGCAGCTATGTCTTCTGACAAGGGTAGAGATAGGGGAGTTTCATTTGATTCAACCATAAGTGAAGATGGTCTGACTCACGAGGCAACCATTTGTGAAAGAGTGCAGAATAATGGGGATGGTGACCTGGAGAAAAGACTGAAGGAGGACAAGGAGAAAGCGATTGCTGTGTTGAAAAGAGTACATCCCAGTAGGGTATGCACCTTTAGTTACCAAATAAAGAGGTCTGCACTATCTATTTATTTATTTGCTATATCATATGCTGTTTTGTAATGTCCTGAGAGTTATTAAGTTGATACTTAGTGGTGATTATTGACCCTTTACACTCAAACATCAGCATGCATATTCTCCATACTGTTCTCTATACATTTAGTGACATGATGACAAGGAGAATTTGTTTAACAATTCAGTGCCTCTTTAGTTGGTGATCATGTCCTTTATTCTTGTGATGTTAATGTGTGATTCATGGGTGATACTGTAAGAAAAAAGTAGATACTGGTCACTCTCAGGGGTCAACAGTTTAATGGTACATGACATTGCTTGTGGCTTGTTTTAATTGTGGGTTTTTGTTGCAGTTACTTTTCAAAGCAGCAGAATGGAAGAGTCTTCCTCTTATGGCTGCATCACTTGCAGAAGGTAGACAAGAACATGCTGCACTTATTGTTTATTTAATGGCTGCACATACATTTCTGGAAAGTGATACTTACAGTAATCACACAAACTGTGTGTAACTTTCCACTTTCCTCAAAAATGTACAAGTCATGAAAGTATTTATGGAAAATTTTCAGGTGCCAAAGTGAACTGGGTAAATGAGGAAGATGAACGAAAAACAGCACTTCACCAGTCTGTCTTAGGGGTAGGTTTGACTCTTTCTGTTGACGGTGTTCTGCTATGCTAAGTACTTGCAATTCCTTCATGGAAGGGCCATCATGTAATGAAATTATTATTTTTCTTCCTCAAGGGATCATTACCAGCTTGTGAGTTCCTTTTACAAAATGGAGCTAAAATAAACCAGAAAGACAAGAGGGGAAGAGGTGCACTTCATCATGCAGCACTTCTTGGGCAGACAGGGTGAGTTGATCAAAAACAACATTCTATTAAAACCATTTTCTCTCTTACCATCACTGTTTTCTGCAGTCGTTGTGAGTGTATTGAGAACCTTGCTTATGTCTGTAAAGCAAAGCATTTTACTTCTTTTTCTTTCTTGCTTCAAGTTGTTATTATCAGTATATGAATATTGATAAGGTTAAGACTTACAACCACATGTTCCAGTAAAAGTTCCATAACTGTGTGTACTTAAACCTAGTTCCTGTAGCTCTTAGCAACCAGTTCTTTCCTTAGCATAGTGTCTATCTCTAGAACACAATACAGTGGTGTGGCCAGGGCTTAAAACAGTTCACTCAGCTGTGGCATTATCTGTCATCACTTATATTAATACTGCTCCTTTATTTTCAGTCCTATCCTCTTGTTCCTGAAGTGAGGAGGTAACCAGCATGATGTTGATGAGAATGGAGAGGTGAGTGTGAACATAATGTGGTGATGCATGAAAAAAGCCCTTGGAGACAACCTCCCATGAACTGCTAGACTTTCCTTCCAAATTAATCTGTATTCCCTTGGAAAACAGAGGAAGCAGTAGATGTTGCATGAAAGGTCACAAGTGGCAGTAAAAACAGTGCTCATGAAAGTTTCTTGATCAATTTCTTTGGTTAATTTCAGGACCCTCTTACAATTGCACTAAAACAAACAAATGCAGATATTGTTACTCTGTAAGTATACAAATGCAATATAACAGTGGATATTGCCTGATTATGATGCTGTTCCTAGGAATTGGTTTTTTTATTTATCCTTCAAGAGGTGAATGAAAGAATCCCAAAAAATTGGAATTGGAATTCACACAGCAGTCTTTAGTCATTGTCTTCTTTGGTAAAGAATCATTGTTAGGAATTGTAAATTTTATATCTTTTTTGGATGCCAGGTTATTTTTGTATCTATTATGGTAAACATATAGCTACTTTTGGTCCATTTCTATCTTGCCAACATTTACTAGACAGTGAAAAATTAAATTGTGTTATAGGTTGAGACTGGCAAGACTGAATGAAGAAATGAGAGAAGATAATGAGATTGCCCAGGGTAAGATCTTTTAAAGAGTACTCCATCTATTTCTTTCTGATTTGTTTTGTTTGTTGTTGTTGTTGTTTTAATTATCAGTGAATTTAAGGAGTGGCAAGCAATGCAATCCAACCACGGCATTGTTCATCATGTTTGTCTACAACAAAAGTCCACTATCCCTGGATATTTCTGGGCGAGCAGTATGATGAAAAATATTATGATACCATAAATCAAATGCACTCTTCTTATCCATGATTATAATTAGTTGCAGAGGGAAATTACTCATCAATCACTCAAAGGGGTGTAAAGGTGAACCCTTTACACCCCAACATCATTATGCATATTCTCCATACTGTTCTCTGTACATTTCCCAGGGTCTAACAAGGAGAATTTGTAAAACCATGAAGAACTTTGTTAGTTGCTGATCATTTCCTTCATTCTCGTGACTTGAACATTTGATTTAAGGGATAGATTGTAAAGAGAAATTAGAACCTTGTCACTCTCATGGATTAAAGGACTAACTGCTGTCATTTTTTTGTTTCAGGTGATGTTACATTCAATGATGTATTCAGAGATTTTTCTTATATGGCATCCAGAGATCCTGACAGGCTTAAACGCAATTTTGATGCAAGTGGACCAAGTAGACAGACACAACTGTGATAACAAAATCAATTTGTTCCACCTTAAATTGAAAACAAATATTTGAGGTCACTTCACATCAAAATGTTTCATTCCTCAAAAATAAGCAAATAAATTCTCATTTCATGGAAGAAACCAATTTGAATATTCACTCTAGATTTAATCTTACCACAAACACAAAAGGAGTAAAACATTATTTCCAATTTATGTTTAGTTTTGTAGTAATTTGCACCAATCAGGAATTAATGTTCACACTGACAATATTACTACCTGTCATGTAATGTAAGAAAACTGAACTGTACAATTAACATATTTTTTATTCATTAGGAATTTAAAATTATCCCCATGATAATAACAGCATCGTTTAGAACAGAGAATAGAATCTTGCACTGAATAACTTAAGGAAAGAAAACATATCAGTAAATCAGTTAAAAAAAAATAATGAAATTTGTAAATAAAATTTCCCCTATGACAACTGAATGGAAGGAAGGACATCAATGTTTAATGAAGAGTTGACTGTATGAATACTATGGTCAAAAAGTCAAAGTTGATCATTATTATATTAATATTACAATGCTCAGTTATGAAAAATTGTACAGACTAGCTAGTATTGAATCATTATTTAGTTGATTTTGACCAGACTAAGTGGTATCCTCCATTAGATTGATATTGATTTAAAAAAATAAAAACAGAGTGGTCTCTGCCTTTTTGTTTGAAGTCCCATCAGCTAATTTTTGTCATTTTGAATGGTGAAATGTTGAGGTTTGATATATCCTGTCATTTATGTTTACCTTTTTACACCCTAACATCAGTATACATATTCTCCAAACTTTTTGCCATACATTTCCTGAGGGGCTGGTGAGGAGAATTTGTTTAACAAACAAGAGCTGATTTATTTGGTGATAATTCCCTGTATTCTTGTGACCTCAATGTTTGATTCAGGTGTGATATTGTGAGGAGAAATTAGATCCTAGTCACTTTCAGATGGGGTATTGGGATTTTCGGTTTTGCGGTTTTGGCTATTTTTAAGATTGGCTTTTCGATCTTTGTGCCAGAAAACTTCGGTTTTTCCTATTTGGGTCCCGTTTCTCTGCGATCTGAGCGGCAATTATGCGTCTCCACTGATCTCGAATAGCCCCAAAAAGCTCTGTATGCTCCACTTGTCACCACTGCATCAGATCGATCAGGGATTTGATCACAAGGATGTTGAAATTTTTAAGACTGTTTTGCATGCGGTTTTCGGTTTTGATCCAATTTTTTTGCAGTAGTGTGGTTTTGGATGATTGCGGCTGCTAATAGACCCCGATGCCCCCCTTCCTCAGCGGTTTAACAGGTTTAAGGGTGTGCATGTCAACTTTTAAAAATGCCTCCCAAATATTTTAATTACGACCACTGTCAATTTGTCTCTTAGTCTGATTAGCAAATCAAAAGGTCCGCTTCAGGTTTCATTTATTCTCCTCTTTCGAAAAAGCCAAAATAAAACTCAAAGGAAGCAAAGATAAAAACTTTCGAAGTTGTAGTTGACGCAAATAAAGCATCTTAGAGACTTCAGAGAAAAACAAGGTGTCAAGTGGAAAAAAAAGCACTTCCAAAACTGTTTTGTTTTGTTTTTCATTTCAAACTGTGGTAATGTGGTTTGTTTATGACACCAAATGCTTAGCTCTATTAATTATGAATGCAGACAAAACTTGGGATCTAATACTTTTATTTCAATTATTTTAATTTGAAAACAAATCTCCCTGAAAACATACTCCACCTTTCACATTCTTGCCAGAAACAAACCTAAATAAAACTACGAGGATTGCCAACTGTCCATATCATTTTATAATATAGCATCTTTCAGGCTCTAGCGCAGCTCCCCAAGTCCCAACCATTTTGGTCGCCATTGGGAGAGAACATTTGGTGACTGAAATTTCGACAAGTCGCCAATTGGCAACAAACAGGAGAACATGTTGAAAATTTGTCCAACGAAAAACAAAACGTAATCTTTCGATTTCTTTACGTTGATTCAAATCAGTCAAATGTAAACTTAGCAGCATCATAACGTTGAAACGGTTAGATTTAAGTCGTTAAAATTTTCCCAACAGTGGCGCGTTATCGCGAAAAAGAAAATCTTGAAGTTGCGAGGATACCGATCGAGGAATTTCCGATACAGTCCCTAAAAATTATATAATAACATTAGCATAATAATAGCGATTGCCAAGTCACGCACACTATTTCCATCCTTTAGTCAACAAGTATGAAATTGGTTCAACCTCAGCGAGGAGACCGAAGAGGAAGTGTTGGTTTTTGAACGCTTCCAAGACAGTCAGTAGGTGTTTCGGAAAACTGTTTTCAGCCACCTTAAACTAAAAGAAAATTTAAGGAAAATGCTGTTTTTATTAAAAGAATTACTCGATGCGCGTTAATATTCCGATTTGTAAGACCGACGTGTATAGCGTTACTGTTAACTTCAATAAATGAGATCTACGATATTTTGGCTTGTGGGTGGTACACATTATTAGTGTTTAAATTCGCCTTTTTCGCAACTGCAGAAAAAAGGTTAAATCATTGTCCAGCGGATGAAAATTCTGACGAAATTTAATTCCCTATAGAACATTCAAATAACAGAAAAAATGATCTGAAATGTGAAAAAAACAACATATACAAGATGTGTATCGGCAAATACATAAAAATTTTATTAACTGGTCTTACTGGTAATTCAGTTTATTTTGTACCTTCTGTTGCGAAGTGTTGTCTTTAATTTGCAAAGGTTTTCGCATATGGAGTAGAGATTCTCGCTATCATCTTCATCTGAATCGGCTAGATTGGTCAAACTCCTTCGAATATCATTCGTCCAGTCGTCAAAAGTTACGACATTTTGGAAATTAAAATGAATTTGAAACGCTTGAATCGCGAATTTTAATTCCCTTCTTTTGTATCTGCCGGCCTTGTTTTGAGATCGCAAAAATATAACCTCGCAAAATACCGTCTCACCAAAATCATAAAAGTTCTCGCTACATAAAGTACCACTGAGTAAGGTGGAAGAACGGATCTTCTCAGATAAGTTGCAGTTGTGATTGCCAAAAAGAAGCCTGAAATCCTGAGAAGGTTCAAAATCGGAGGGGTTTCAAGCCCGTGCCTTCCGAGACTATAACTGAGCTGCGTAGCCGCATGAAGGAAGAGGGAACGGCCAAATTTAAGTAGGTCCTCAGGTTAGATGGTCCGACGGTGCTCAACTAGTATCTAGCATCAATGTAAATCTCTAAAAAGCAGTACAATAGAGAACCTTTGACGCTGGAAATGATCCGTGGTTTCATTTTCATACGGGTATGTCTCCTATGTCTTCACTTTTGTATCACAGTTGGCAGTCGCACAAGTCAATCGAAAAAAACGATCTTGAAAACTGGTGAGAAAAATGAAAGTCGAACAACCAAGGCGTGTTTAGAGGCGCTCGTAATTAGTTAGAAAATTACTTTGGCTTAGGTAGAGGGGGAAGGTGAAGGAGATTGTGCAGCGACGAGTCACATCTCTTCTGGTTACACTACTAAGCGTGCAATTTGCCTCAGAAAGCAAAAGCCTTCGCCATACTTGTGATTGTCATTTTAAAGCCTCTATCAAAATAATTTCTGATTAATGACACTTTTAGCACGTGTCCATTTCAGTTTCTGAAAGAAGTCTACAAATGCGTGCAGTAACAAAAACGGCGAAAATTCGTCAAAATCGCTCTGACGAATTTGACTACAATTCGTCAAAATCGCCAAATCCATGAACAACCTCTCGGTTTCACAAAGTTTCGTCAAATCTGCCATTTCGGTCACCGCGTGCATTTCTGCACTTAATTAGAGATATGTTGAGGGAGTTTACTCTCTCCGTTTCCCATATCAGCTTCCTGAGTAGTCGAGAAAAGATGGCGGGCGAAAACAAACCATTGGCTAGATGACAGCTGTAACTTTGCCAAGAATTAAAATTGTAGCTCTTCCCATAGAGAGAAACTGTGAAATCTGTAGCAATTACTGACCGGAAGTCACCATACTTTCATTATTTCAACTTACGACATAATGCGATTTTCATCTGATTGAAAACAGTGAGAATACAAACGCTAACAATGGATAATCTCAAGGAATTACTTAAACCAAAAACGTTTAACACAGTTAGCCACGCTGCAGTTGTTATTTGGATCCTGATCGGTGTAATCTTCCTTGGCATTTTTGCAGACGCGGAAAACAGCGAATCCAGGTATGATTTCCGCTGTGGCGGGGAGAAGAGTGAAAACATCGACCTTGTCCGTGGAAGATGTTTCGAGTTATACGAGAAGCGGTATAACAAACACGATGTTCCTATCTATGCCTTCGTGATCATGAATTTCTTCCTCATCGGAACTGTCTGTGCTATTTACTCCCAAATAGCGAGCCGCACAATCAATCAACTGTCGCCAAGCGCTCGTAACGGTGATCTCGAGGGGCAGTTGCGCGACCAAGGAAACGCACTTTCTAGTAAAAAGCTGTTTATCGCTTACTGCTGCCAACTTTTCGCAAGGATTGTTTTAGGAGTTCTCTTCATGGTTCTACAAAAACAGTTTCTCTATCCTCTGGACTTCCCCCCCAACTTCTCTTGTTATCTAACCTCTGGAGGGATTCAGCCAAGAAATTTTACTGGCGTCTGGCACGATTGTCATAATCAACGAGCAACTAAGAAAAACTCCTGGATGCGCGCTGTTCTTGTCGTGAACGGAATTTTTCTCTTTGGCATTCTGTTAGAAACCGCCTATATTTTGCTACGAGCCTGGAAAGAGGATAGTTTCATGAAAAATTCCAAGTTTCTAAAGGCTCACCTGAATCCCTTCCATGCCGACTCGCAAAATGCTACCACATCGACTCAGTTGAGACCTGAACCACCCCGGCAGCAAGAAGAAAGAACAGAGCAAGAAACGAACGTCCCACAAGAACTGCACCAGGAAGAGGAAAGAAAAGAACATGAAACGAACATCCCACATCTGCCAAGCAAGCCTCAACAACTTCAGAAACCACCGCTTCAGAAAT